TTAAAAAAAAAGAATTATATGTTTTTAATTAAAAAACCAGAGGCAGAGCGACAAAGAGAGATCAAAGAGAAAAAGAGAGCGAAAGAGATCTAGCGAGTGCGACAGCGAGCGGGTTTCCATCTGCTGGTTCACTTGACTAATACAAGCAACAGGGGGCAGCTGGGATGATGGAAATCCAGGAGCGTGTGGCGGGTCTACCACAGGGGAGCAGGGGCACCAGCACCTCTGACTTAAAAATCTGGTGTCCCGGGGCCCCCCTCCAGTTTCTTCTGTAGCCCAGTCATCTGTCCTGACTGCTTTTTGAAGATTGATTGATTTGAGAGGCAGTTACAGAGAGAGGTCTTCCATCCACTCCACTGGTTTACTCTGCAGATAGCCGCTATGGCTGGAGCTGTGTCGCTCCCCCATTCGTGGAGGAACGACACAGGACCCTGCGCTGTTCTTTTGTCTGCTCGGCCCTCCCCGGGTTTGCTGCTGGTCCTTCCCGGGTTGGCTACCATCCCTCCACCTCCGTGGAGGGGCGGCTCCCCCTGCCACTTTCCCCACTTCTGCGGGGGAGCGGCACACCACCGGCCGGCTCTCTCGGGGGCTGCTCAGATGTTCCTCAGGTGTTCCCCTTAGATGTTCCTGGTGCATGTTGTCTCTCTCCTCCTTTATAGTCCTCTTCCACCAATCCCAACTCTGCTACCCACACACTGAATATGCTGCTCTCCTCCAATCAGGAGCAAGATCAGCTCCTGCAGCTCAGTCAATCAAATTGGTGAGAGGCAGCTGTGTAGAAGTTGTTTCCTCCTCTCCCAGGGCCATATTGTGGGAGAGCAGATGCATAGAATAAGTCTTAATTCCAGTAACTTAGTCTAGTCCGAGTTGCTCCCCACAATTCCCCCTTTCTTTTTATTTTTTGGCGTTGATACGCGCCTGTCTTCGGTGCCCCGCAGCACACACTCTGCTCTGCTTGCTGGAGTTGCCCACAGGTGCTTACAAGCCCTACCAATCAGGCAAACTGAATCCAGGTCCTCTCTTTGCCATGTTGTGAGGAGATTTTTAGGCGCTGATGCGTGCCTGTGTTCGGCGCCCTGCAGTGCATGCTCTACTCGAGCTGCCTGTAAGTGCTTATCGCCTTACTAATCAGACCGAATCCAAGCCCTCTCATTGCTGTATTGTGGGGAGACTTATTGATGTTGATTCTTGCCTGTCTTCGGTGACCTGCGGCGCATAAGCTGCTAGCCGCCCGCAGGTGCTCATCGCCTTACTAATCAGGCAGACCGAATCCAAGCCCTCTCATTGCCATGTTGTGGGGAGGCCTTATTTTTCTCTATTTCTCTATCTCCGGGCATTCCTATTTCTCCTATTTTACTTCTATCTGCCAGCATTCCTATTTCTCTCATTTTACTTCTATACTTCTGTTTCTCTTATCCCCGCGGTTTCCCAGTGCCCGCCCCGAGGCTGCTTCTCGGCGCCTCGCCCCGTGGCGGCTTCCCAGCTCTGCACGGCTTCAGCCCGCACGCACTTCTCTCATCTGCGTGGCTTCCTGGCTTCGCGAGCACTCCTTGGTCTCCATGCCAGCCCCGCGCTCCCTATCTACTCACGCCCCGTGCGCTCTCTCCGCTTGTGCCCCGCGCGCTTTCTCTGCGTGCGGTGGCTTCCGCGAATCACAGCCTAGCTCACGTTTCCGCTTCTTGGTTTTCAGTCTAAGTTCCCCGGGCTAACCTGACGAATTCCAACCTAGCTTACATCTCCGCTTTTCGGTTTGGCTTCCCATCTTTTGCTCCCCGGGCTAATCTGACGGACTCCAACCTACCTTACGTCTCCGCTTCTGGTTTTAGTTTTTCGCCTTTTGCTCCCCGGGCTGACTTGACAAATCCCAACCTAGCTTACGTCTCCGCTTCGGCCTACCCCCACGGCTTCATTTTCCCTAACTTATATCTTTCTCTACCCGGTACTTTTCCCTAAGTTTCTTCCAACAATATTTCTCTCTCATTTCTCCTGACTTCTCCCCACAGTCCGTATCCCAGTCTATTTCCTCTTTCACTTTTACTTTTAATCTTAGATTTCTCCCAGCTTCCCCCTGTAGTCCGCATCCAAGTCTATGTTTCTTTTTGCTTTCAGTTTCACTTTCAACCCTAGATTTCTTCCGGCACTTTTTCCGTCCAGCTTTCCCCTAGGCTCTTTAGTAGTCTCTCTCTCCGGTATTTTCCCACTTCTTCCCTCCTAGGTTTCCTATCCGAGTCACGGCACCATTATGTAGCTCCCCCATTCGTGGAGGAACGACACAGGACCCTGCGCTGTTCTTTCGTCTGCTCGGCCCTCCCCGGGTTTGCTGCTGGTCCTTCCCAGGTTGGCTTCGATCCTTCCACCTCCATGGAAGGGCGGTTCCCCCTGCCACTTTCCCCACTTCCGCGGGGGAGCGGCACACCGCCGGCCGGCTCTCTCAGGGGCTGCTCAGATGTTATCCGGATGTTCCCCTTAGATGTTCCTGGTGCATGTTGTCTCTCTCCTCCTTTATAGTCCTCTTCCACCAATCCCAACTCTGCTACCCACACACTGAATATGCTGCTCTTCTCCAATCAGGAGCAGCTCCTGCAGGTTACTGGTCGAACTGGAGGCAGCTGTGTAGAAGCTGTTTCCTCCTCTCCCAGCACCATATTGTGGGAGAGCAGATGCATAGAATAAGTCTTAATTCCAGTAACTTAGTCTAGTCCGAGTTGCTCCGCACAGAGCTGAGCCTATCTGGAGCCAGGAGCTTCTTCCAGGTCTCCCACATGGGTGCAGGGGCCCAAACACTTTGGTCATCTGCTGCTGCTTTCCCAGGTGGGAGCTGGATCAGAAGTGGAACAGCCGGGACTCAAACTGCCGCCCATATGGGATGCTGGTGCTGCAGGCCAGGGCTTTAACCTGCTGCACCACAGCACTGGCCCATTCCCAATGTAGAGTCCCTTCATGACATCTTGTGTCTGTGAGGTTGGGAGGGAGGTGGGGCAACAGTCATGGCTCTCCACCCAATCCCCACAGCCTTTGATGCTGGGCTGAGGGTCACGGGGATGACTGCAGTGTGGGGCTTGGTCCTTGCCACCAGGCCTCCCCAGTGGACAGGGCATCACAGCCTGTATGCACTAGGAGCTGGGGCTCAGCGAAGGGCTGCTCTTAAAGGGCCACTCTGCTGCTTGGATCTTAGTGAACAGGAGCCCTCTGCTGGCCTGGGCACTGCATGGCTGTGCCTCCCACGTCCATCTGAGGTTAGACGTGAATACGCCTGTTGTTCTTGTGTTCTTAGAAGTGGGCACTGTCCTGCACGCTTGCCAAGACTATTTCTACAGAGTGGTATGTGCTGGCTGAAGCTTAGCTGGGTCCCTGGTCCAGTGGAGGCTGTAGGCGGGAGTCTCCTGAGAAAGGCTGGGACAGCAGGGACTGTGGAAAGAACTTTCTGGTCCTGCTTCCTTTAAAACATCACAATTAGTACTTTTAAAAAACCAATCAGATTTTATTATGTAGTTATTTCCCAAGCAGAGAAATGAGTCAGATATCCCAATTAGTTGTATTGATTGGGGAAAATACTCATGACCACTTCAGAGAAATTGACAACATCTAGTATAGACAGATCATATCCACATACTTGAATCCATACACATGAAACTGAAGATCATCAGAAGCATTTCACTGAACCGGGTGATCTGTACAGGACTGGCACCCACCTGGCCCTCAGAAACCAGCAAGAAAGTCAAAGGTCCCGTCCCCTCCACCGACTCGGTTCCTCCCTTGCTGCCCAGGCCTCACTGTGGCTGCTGAGTCCTGAACCTGAAAGGCCTTACTAGATGAGTGCAGAGCCTCAGGGATCTGCACCTCTGCAGGGAGAAAGTGGTTTTCAAAGCAAGAGCCCAGAAGAGGACAATCTAACTGACAAATACTTTAGTGACAAAAAGGTCTTAAGAAATGAAAGGAGCCTCGGGCACTGCTCTCCCTCTGCCTGGCTCTCTGGCCCTGGCAGCTGGTGGAGCCGGGCCCTGGGTACAGATGTGCCGTAGTCCAGAAGTGACCGCGTCAGTCCGCTGAGAAGAGGGCATCACCCGGAACTCCACGAGGCCGTCTTGGCTCTGATCCAAGTCTGCCCTTCAGCCTGGGCTGGAAGCACCAAACAGCAGTTCCTACTTTTCTGCCAGCCTCTTCCTCAAGAAGCAAAACGAAACTGCGTCACAGTCTGTGCAGGGAAGACGGGCAAGGGAAGGCCAGTGCCAGGCCGTAGCTAAAGGGCACAGTCCACGGGCAGCCCTCAGGACCGGGTGATCTTGTCAGGAGGCATGAACCCTGTGTCCCCAAGGGTCCTGAGCGCTACCCGGCCATTGGGTCGGATCACCAGGTGGGTGATGCTGCCGTTGTTGAGGGAGAGCCGGAGCCAGCCTTCGGGAGGGAACTGCAGCGCCCTGGGGGAAGGGGAGAGAAAGACTGTGCTGGAGCAAGGGCCGCCGGGCAGCACAGTGGGGTCTTGACAAAGCTCGCAGCTCCCCTGACACCGTCCCTGCCCTGAGAGGTGGGGAGCTGGCTGGGGTGGAGACTGACGGGGACAAGGGCTCAGCCTGTGAGATGCACTGGCTTTTCTCAGTTTCTGAGAATACCCAGTGGCTTCGCCCAGGACCACACAGCTGTAACACACAGCTGGTGTTCGCTGAAGAGCGCAGTAGTGTGCTGCCTCCTCTGTCACTGCGCAGCCTCTGGCCTCAGGAAGCTGGTGTGGCCACCTCCCGGCCCTTGCCAGGTCTGGCAACCGCCCTTGCGCCTCTTAGAGCCTCTTCAGGGTTATCCCCGAGCAGCTTGAACCACCACGGGCCTGAATGGCACCATCGCTTTCTTTATCACACGTGACAGGCAAGCTACAGTCCCAAATCCCCGTGGTCTCTGGTGCACCTTCAGCGTTAGGACCACTTTCTACGGATAATGAGCTGTTGACATCAGTTCAGAAAGCATCGCATGGCTCCCTGTCAGAGGCACGGCGGAGCACAGCCCTGTAGCTACCCCCTCTAGCAATACCTGTTCTTGTTGGGGGTGTGCCTGCACCTCTTTCCCACCAGCAGTTCTATCTGGTCTGCAGTAGCTGTGAGCTGAGCCAAGAATCCTGGCTCCCCAACATCCCTGCACTTCTGGGGGCTGCCAGTCTCCTGACCACACTTCCTGAGGGACCCCACACACAGTGCCCCACCAGACTTGTCTCACGAGGTATTAAACGCACACACGCAGTGGGGGATAAGGTTCCACCTCATTTCAAATTTTGCATCTGGTGAGATCTGCCGGTTTCACAACGACCCCCGTGCATGGCGCCTGCAGCTGTGGCCGCTGCCCCAGCACTCCTCGAGAAGTGACCGACCAGGGCTGCAGCCAGGAAGGTGCAAGCTGAGTCTAGAATGTTTTGTGGCACCATAAAGTGGCGAGTGGAGGCAGGTACAGGACACAGGCGTGCCCCTCCCTCCCCTGCGCCTGAACCACAGTGACAGTCTTGGGGAACGTGCCCACGGCAGAGGCACAGCCACACAGAGAAATGGGTGAGAGCCCCTGTGTGGCAGTTCAGTGCCCAGGCAGGACACAGGACCAACCAGCATCAGGCAAACTCCAGCGTGATGGCTGCTGCCGGCAGATCCACCAACAGATGCTGATGGCACGGGGGGTAAGCTGGGGACACATAAGCAGCTCACCCAGCCTCCTGAAGCACAACTACATCCTAGTGGCAGGTGGCAGCGCGCGCAGGGAAAATCCTTCAGAACCAGCTGCCCAGTCTGTCTGTGCTGCTCTCAGCCCTAACACAAGATCCCAAGGGACTCCGAACAGACGACCAGGGCTCCTCACACACAGCCCAGCGCGCGCCAGGCTAGGCCCAGGGAAGGCTGCCTGTGAATGCTGTCCTATTCTCGCTAGGTCAGAAATGACCCTAGACCGAGCACAGCCTGGCGGTGCCTACCTGCACACGATATAGCGGATGACGTTGGCGTGACAGATGAAGATCTCGTAACTGTCCTCTTCCTGCCTGGCGTCTGCTCGGTGGATGTAGTTCCGGAACGCAGCCTCGATCCGGGCTCCGTCCTCATAATACTGCTGGGGGCAGAGCAGGGAACTGTCAGTGTGGACACACAGAGACGATGCTGGTATCAGGACAAACCCCTCAGAACCCAGGTGGGTCACGGCAGCTCATGGCCGGCAGGCATGCCCAAGAGGCAGAGACTCCTAGGTGGAGGGGCTGTGGGGCTGCTCGCTGGGGAGGTGTTTTTACCACAGCTTCTGGCTTCCAGTGAGACACGGGTGGGTCGGGCTCGATGGGGGCGCCTTCCCGAAGCAGGTCTGTGCTGACCCTGCAGACGCCTGAGGGAACCCAGGGAAGCTCAGGGTTAGTGACCCCTGCCGTGGCCAGCTCGGCTGGAGGGCCTGCTGCGAACCACCTGCTGCTGAAGCAAGCGCAGGCCCAGCTCCCAGCACTCACCTGGCAGGTGCTTACTGATGATCTCGGTGGTTTCTACTGCCCGAGTCATGGAGGAGTGGACAATTTTATTAAACTTCAACCCCAAGCTGGCCAGTCGGAGCCCAGTTAGTTCAGCCTGTTCACGACCTTCAAAGTGAAATTCAGAATTATGTGAGGCTGGGTACCTGCCTGTACTTACTGCACAAATCCTGAAGCCCTCATTAAACACGGACCCTAGAATGAAAAAAAAAAATGCATCTGATGACATGAACGACAGGAACCAGGCCAGGCAATGCAGCCCAGCAAGTTACGCTGCTGCTTGGACGCCGGCATCCCATACCAGAGTGCCTGCTCCAGTCCTGGCTTCTCCACTTCTGATCCAGCTTCCTGCTAACGGACCTGGAGGCAGCAGGTGGTGGTTCAAGTACTTGGACCCCTGCATGCATGTGGGAGACCTGGATGTTGTGCAGGGCTCCTGGCTCTGGCTTGGCCCAGCCCTGGCTAACGCAGGCAACTGGGGGACTACAGTGGCAGATGGAAGATGTTTCTCTCTTCCTTCCTCCCACCCGCCCTCTATCATTCTGCCTTTCAAGCAAATTAAAATAAACCAACTTCAAAAACAAAACAAGGCCCAAACGTGATGACTTGGAGTTTGGGCAGGCCCCACTGACTGTTTCTGGATCTCTAACATCATTCTTACTCAACTATGTCCAAAGTCTAGCTTCAGCTCCACCATGAGCCACCAGCTCTGCGACTCTGCAGCTGTCAGCGCTCAGAAGGCCCGCAGGTCTCAGGTTACTCCGCAGGGACCAGGGCACACACTGAGGCTTCCTCTCTAACGTCCTCTAGCATCTAGTAAAACACCCTCGGAAGTCAGTTCCTGCCGCATGCTGTGACGTCTGTGCAGGCCCTGCACTTCCTGTTTCTACTCAGGAACCAGAAACGCTTTTCAGGGGTGGAGCACAGTTTGTTGGAAGCAGACTTAAAGGTACACCAACAAGTAACATCCCATTCCCAGTTGTTTTTTTTGACAGGCAGATTGGACAGTGAGAGAGAGAAAGAGAAAAGTCTTCCTTTACCGTTGGTTCACCCCACAATGGCCTCCGCGGCTGGTGTGCTGCAGCCAGCGCACCACGCTGATCCGAAGCCAGGAACCAGGTGCTTCTCCTGGTCTCCCATGGGGTGCAGGGCCCAAGCACTTGGGCCACCATCCACTGCACTCCCGGGCCACAGCAGAGAGCTGGCCTGGAAGAGGGGCAACCAGGACAGAATCCGGCGCCCCGACCGGGACTAGAACCCGGTGTGCCAGTGCCGCAGGTGGAGAATTAGCCTAGTGAGCCGCGGCGCTGGCCCCATTCCCAGTTTTTAAAATGTGCGCTCTACTCGGGCCACCCTGTGTCTCTGGAGCATTTCTCCTGCAGACACTTCCATGCGGGGCACACACATTCCTGGCAGCACCTCTGATAGCACAAAACCACAGCTACCGACCCACCCGCTGGTGGGGACAGGTGAGGTAAGTCTTCCCCATTCAACCCACTTTATGACGCAGATGCACACAGACCTGTGAGTGCGGAATGGAAGGATCTTCGGCAGCGTGATCAGTCTAGGAAAATACAGAGGCACGAGGTGTGCGACTTTCAGACTACCAAGGGCAGGAAGGCATTACACTGGACCCTGGGCAAGCAACACCAGCACAACACATTTTAAAAGGACATATGAAAAACTTGTTTCCTCTCCGAATTCAGCTTCTACTTACTGACACTGACTATATCAGAGTCTAGGTTGATGGTTCTGGACACAGGTTTGAGGCAGCTGTGTCCTAAGCACCTTCAAGAAGGCCGGCCAAGGGTGGCTGGGAGGGGTCCTGGGGGCATCTGAGACCTGGCCACCTACCCAGCGCGGTCAGAGTGCGGTCCTTTTCCAGGGAGCCGTCCACATGATACTGAGAATGCCTGATGAGGAAGATGTGCCGCGTGGCCTTGGCTTTGTAGTGGTCCAGCCTGGACGCCAGTTCTTCTTCTCCAGACTCCACGTTCCTCTTGCGCAGGTTGATCAGAGACAGTGGTTCTCGCCTAATGTTGAAATACAAGATGATAGATCCTGGTGACCTCTACTCCTGAGATATCTATGAGTATTTCTGACAAGACAGTATCTCCAAGCCATCAGGCTAATGGAGAAGAGTACAGAGGAGAACCCAAGGCCCTCAGGACCAACTGCAGAAAAGCCAGCTTGCAGAGCACAGCTCCACGCCTCACCCCGCAGAGCTGGCCAGGACAGGGTGATGCAATGGTGGACAAAGCAGTCGAGCAAGTCTCTTGTGCAGCTTATGTTTAGGAAAGAGGCTGACCCTCAGCTGCAAAAAGAAACAGAAAATGCCAGAACTTGATGACAGTAAACAACGTGTCCACAGGGTGGGTGGTGGGGTGCTGAACAGCCTTGCTGCGATGTCCAGTGGCAGCCACTAGTTATCTGGCTACTTAAATTCAAAACACGTTCAGCCAGCTCAGGTTCTATACCCAAGTTCAAGTCACTGCAGATAAAAAATATTTACGGGGCCGCCGCTGTGGGTTAATGCCCTGGCCTGCAGCGCCGGCATCCCATGTGGGAGCCAGTTAGAGCCCGGCTGCTCCACTTCCTGTCCAGCTCTCTGTTATGGCCTGAGAAAGCAGCAGCAGATGGCCCAAGTCCTTGGGCCCCTGCACCCACTTGGGAGACAGGGAGGAAGCTCCTGGCTCCTGGCTTCAGATCAGCACAGCTCCGGCCATTGCGGCCATCTGGCAAGTGAACTATCGGATGGAGGACCTCTTTCTCTCTCTCTGCCTCTTCTCTCTCTGTGTAAATCTTTCAAATAAGTATTTCAAAAAAAAATCTCAGAAAAAATTGCTTCCGTACTGAGCACGCACAAAATTTTTTCTTGTCATTCTCAAAACACAGCGTAACTATTTACATAGCACAGATGTTATATTATGTATCACAAGCAACCAAGAGGGGAAGGCACTGAAGCATAGCAGATTAGCCGATTCTGGTGCCTATGTTCCCATCTTAGAATGCCTAGTTCAAGTCCCAACTCCTCTGCTTCGGATCCAGCTTCTTGCTAATGCAGATGATGGCTCAAGTGCTTGGGACCCTAGCACCCACACAGGAGACCCGGACGGAGTTCCAGGCTTCTGGCTTTAGCATGACCCAGTCCTGGCTGTCGCAGGCATTTGGAGAGTGAATCTTGTGGATGGAAGATCTCTCTCCCTGTCACTCTACCTTCCAAATAGATGAAAACAAACATTTGAAAAAAAAATGTTAAGTATACAGGAGGATGTGTATAGATTATACTATAGCATTTTATATCAGGGACTCGAGCATCCTTACATTTAGGTACATGCGGGGCTTCCTGGACCTAACCCCCTGCAGGTAACTGCAGATCTGTGATCAAGATTCAACCGAATCAGAATTCTTTTCCTCAGCTGCGCTACTCCCACTTCAAATGCTCGGGGCCACACGTGGTGGCAGCCGTCACACTGGACAGGCAGGAAGCATCTCCATCACCGTGGAGTTCTGATGGACTGAGCTACTGATCAGGTAAGGGTGGCTCTCGGCACCGAGGCTAACAAAAGCGAGACAGGGGAGAGCTGAGAGTGTCACAAATCAAACCTGCCAGAATTCACTCGGCGGAGACGGCTGTGGGGCTCGGAGGTGTGCTGTGACTTCTGTTTGGGTTGTGCTAACCTGGCAAAATTCACACACTGGCAGGGGAATCAGGGAGTCTGGGGTTAAGCCAGCGTCACTTAGGAGCTACAGGAGAGACGGAAGGCAAGGAACACATGAGACCGCCCTCCTCCAAGGGGCTGGAGACTTAACCAAACGAAGCTCTAGAACTTTCCAGCATGGCCAGGTGAGGCGAGAGACCAGCACTGTCCTTCTAGGACTTGCTGCAGCTGCTCTTCATCCGCACAGACGCCAGCTCGACGCCGCAGGGCTGAGTTCTGCTGCTACTGCACCAAGTTCTCTTAACCTCATACGAACCTTTCCTTACAAAGGCCTAAGAAGTTCAGAACACTGGAGTGCCGTGTAATGACAAACGCAGACAAGTCCCCGCGGAGGGACCTTTTACAAAATACCTGGGCAGCACACACACAGTCACCAAGCCAGTCCGAGAAACCGTCCCGGCCAGGAGGGGACCCGAGGCCACTCAGGAAAGCCCGGCTTCAGTTAGCAGCCGGGTAGCAGCACCGCCTTGTGCGCCCCCCAACCCGAGGGGCGCGGGAGCAGCGGACAGCGGCAGCCGTGTGGGTCCGCTCACAGCCAGGCGTTCAGCGGCAGCCCCGCACCCCTCCCCTCAGAGCAGCACGGCGCACTCGGCCGTCCCGTCACGGGCCGAGCTGTCACGGCGCCGCGCGCGTCCCGTCACGGGCCGAGCTGTCACGGCGCCGCGCGCGTCCCGTCACGGGCCGAGCCTGTCACGGCGCCGCGCGCGTCCCGTCACGGGCCGAGCTGTCACGGCGCCGCGCGGGCTCCAGCCTCGGCGGCAGCAGCAACAGGTGAGGCGCGGCCCGCGCTGCGGCCGGCCCGATGGGCCCACAGGCTCCCCCAGCAGAACCGCCAGACACCGCTCTGGGTCTCTCAGCGGAAATGTTGAACGAAGCTAAGCAGCCGCGTCTCAAACGCCGGACGACCACGCACGGCCGCGGCGCCGCCGCCTCCACGCCGCGCCCGCGGAGTCCCGGCGCCCACACCGGCCCTGCCCTCCCGCCGGCGGAAACCGAGAGCGAACCGCGCGGGGCAGCCGCGCCCAGAGGGACGGGGCCGCGACGCCGCCATCGCGCGCACCTGTCCCAGTTGGAGTCCCAGACGCCAGGGGGCCGCGCGGCCCCGGCCCACGCCGGCGGCTCGGCCGCGCGCGGCTCCGCGTCCCCGCCCGCCCGCGGCTTGCCCACCGCCACAGCCGAGAAGAGCACGGCAGCCGAGCCCCCGGCCAGCCCGCAGGCCGCCAGCTGCAGCGCCTGCCGGAACGCCATGCCGCTCCCGCGCCGCCGCGCAGACGCACACGGCCCCGGCGGCCCGCCGCGAGCCACTCGCTTCCGCGGGCGCCTACTTCCGGCTGGCGGAGCGAGCGGAAGTCCCGCCTCCGCGGCGTCGCGGGCGCGGACGCTGAGGCGCGAGGGAGGGCGCGGGCGCGGGCGCGGGCGCGGGCGCGGGAGCTGCCGCGCGGGCGCGCCCCCGCCGTTTGTAGCGAGCGCGCGCCCCGCGGCCCTGAGGCCGCCGCCTCTCCCACCGCGCGGCCTGGCGCTCGCGCTCCCCGGGCGTGCGGCTCCGGCGCCCTCCTTGACCCTTCCGCGCCGCGCGGCTCGGGTTCGCTCCGCGGGTGTCCGTGGCGGGGCGCCCCGAGGGGAGCAGACCCCGCCTGCGGCCGCCGCGCACTTGCTCCTCGCCGTCGCGGGGCCGGGCTAACAGCGCATGGGGTCGCACCCGGCGGCGGGAATTTAGGTCATTCTGAACCGTTTTTAAGTTGGAAAGGGACAAGATGTGGTTCCCAGTGTAAGTGAGTTTGAGGAATCAGTTCCACTTTAAACCCAGACTCTGTTTAAACATGGCGTCTGGGACTCACACGTTTAAGTCTTTTTCCAGAAGGTTGTTTACTAAGATGATAGTGAAAAGACGAAGCAAAGACACCTGTAAGGACGTGGTTGACTCCGCAAGGACGAAACACGGCAGAGATCGGGTAAAACTTTGAAAGCTGGAATCGGATACTTCTCGACCTGGACACAGAACACCAGTTGCAGGTGCCGGAGGAAGCAAGTTGGCTCCGGTGAGCCTGGGAGTCTTGGAGGAAAAGCGCAGCCCCACATCTGCGGAAGTCCGCACAGGAGGTTGCCCTCCATCATGCACTGCACTAGAGACATTTCATTGCAGAATCACAGAGGACCCTGGATTTGAGATGCAGTATTAAAGGTGGGATTGTATGCAGCTCACGTACTGAACAGTCAGTGTCCAGCCCCCCTCTGCCATTTAGCCAATAGAATGTCGGCCACCAGGCTTACGTCACACTTCATTATCACCATCATCCTTCCCTTGGCAGGAGCTTACACGAGCCCTTTCTGTGGAAACTGACAACCCCAAAGAGGAGAGCTCAAGTTGTGTGTGTGTGTGTGTGTGTGTGTGTGTGTGTGTAAGATTTATTTGAGAGGCAAAGTTACAGAGAGAGGGACAGGAAGAAAGGTCTTCCGTCTGCTGGAACACTCCCCAGATGGCCACAACGTCCAGACCTTGGCCAATCAGAGGCCAGGAGCTTCCTCTTGGTCTCCACATGGGTGCAGGGGCCCACACACTTGTGCCATCCTCTGCTGCTTTCTCAGGCCATAGCAGGGAGCTGGATCAGAGGAGGAGCAGCCGGGACTCAAACTGGTGCCCATATGGGATGCCAGCACCACAGTTTCATATCACTGATAGATATTCAAGTGGGGAAGACGGAAAACTGCTGTGCTCTGTGCTCTTCTATGTATCTGGCAACACTCAGTAACTGTGTTAAGCAAACTGAGTGAATGAAGATTGTGATAGGTCAGATACGTCAAGAATAAGAATTCACATTACTTAAAAAAAAAATCTGCCCTAGTTAACTGCATTTTTTAAGAAAGATTTATTGGCCGGCGCCGCAGCTCACTAGGCTAATCCTCCGCCTAGCGGCGCCATCACACCGGGTTCTAGTCCTGGTCGGGGCGCCGGGTTCTGTCCCGGTTGCCCCTCTTCCAGGCCAGCCCTCTGCTGTGGCCAGGGAGTGCAGTGGAGGATGGCCCAGGTGCTTGGGCCCTGCACCCCATGGGAGACCAGGAAAAGCACCTGGCTCCTGGCTCCTGGCTCCTGCCATCGGATCAGCGCGGTGCGCCGGCCGCAGCGCGCCGGCCGCGGCGGCCACTGGAGGGTGAACCAACGGCAAAGGAAGACCTTTCTCTCTGTCTCTCTCTCTCACTGTCCACTCTGCCTGTCAAAAAAAAAAAAAAATAATAATAAAAAAGAAAGATTTATTGATTTATTTGAAAGGCAAAGTTATAGAAAGAGAGATAGAGAGTGAGAGTGAAATTCCATCTGCTGGTTCACTCCCCAAACGGTCACAACAGCCAAACATGTCCCACAATGGGTGGCAGGGGCTCACGCACTTGGGCCACCTTCTGATTTCCCAGGTACCCACCTGCTGATTTTAAAGGCGCGGGATCAGAAGTGGAGCATATGCAGGAGACACAACCATTGGCAGTGACAGGCTACTCCAGCTCATAAAGCCAATTCATGAGAGAGACTTCCAGACCCAGGACAGGCAGGGCCTGTGCCTCTGGTAAGCAGGAAGTAGCTATAGAAGATACGATTCTATGCCTTTCAACGTCACCTGAAGATTAAGGTCTGGAATATCTGAGGGGGGAATGATACAGGCAGGCAGACAGGATGATATTGATTAGATTTGTGAGCTGGCACCACCCCTTCACCCTGCCCCTTTTCATGATCTCATGCTCCTCCCTGACCGCACCTGTACACCTACCTGCCAATCAGCCTGCATAACCACGCCCCTTTGGAAGTGAATAAAAGGCATGGAGCGCCTGGGCCCTCTCTCATTTGCTCCACGCCAAGAGGCCTGGGTGGCTTTTTGGCCGCCCCTGATGCCTGCTTCTCCACGCGGCCCATGTGCTCTCTCTCCCTCTGGTCTACTCCCTGGAAAAGCCTGGTAAACTTCTAAGCTCCTTCTCCCTCTTATAAAACCCTCACTTTCCTGTGTATTTCTTTCACTGAGTAAATTCTAAGAACTTAAAAAAATATAAGTGGAGCAGCCAGGACTCAAATTGGTGCTCATATGGGATACTGGCATTGCAGGCAGCAGCTTAACCCACTATGCCACCATGCTGGTCCCTAACTCTACATTTTTATGTTTTCAAAGTTTATTTGAAAGGCGGAGTTACAGAGAGAGGAAGAGGTCTTCTATTTGCTGGTTCACTCCTCAAATGGTCACAACAGTTGGGGCTGGGCTGCTCACATGGATACTAGCATTGGTGGTGGTGGCTTCACCCCATGTACCATGTTGGCCATGTACTGTGATAGTCTGAGAGGATATATGATTAGGTAGCGATGAGAGTGACTGAGGAACCCAACAGACTGTACCTGAACCCAAGAGCCATCTCTTACTAGCTGAGGTCTTGCCTCAGTTTCCCGATTTATGAAATGGGGAGAACAATAGCACCTGCCTCATAGGACTGTGGTAGGACCCAACAGTACTAAGTCGTGATAGTTTCAGGAGAGCTCCGGCACGAGTGCCCTCAGCAGGTGCTGGCACTGGCTGCTGTCTGGACTCCACTCTGCAATCTGCTTCTGAAACTCCTGAAACTTCTGAAACTCCTCCATGGCCACATGGGCGGGACCAATTGGAAAGTGATAAGTTAGAGGTACAGCTGGGCTTGCCTATATCAGCGCCAACTGTAGGAACATTGGTTATTATTATTATTTTTTTTTGACAGGCAGAGTGGACAGTGAGAGAGAGAGAGACAGAGAGAAAGGTCTTCCTTTGCCGTTGGTTCACCCTCCAATGGCCGCCGTGGCTGGCGCACCGCGCTGATCCGCTGGCAGGAGCCAGGTGCTTTTCCTGGTCTCCCATGGGGTGCAGGGCCCAAGCACTTGGGCCATCCTCCACTGCACTCCCTGGCCACAGCAGAGAGCTGGCCTGGAAGAGGGGCAACCGGGACAGAATCCGGCGCCCCGACCAGGACTAGAACCCGGTGTGCCGGCGCCGCAAGGCGGAGGATTAGCCTAGTGAACCGCGGCGCCGGCCTGGAACATTGGTTATTTTTGCAAATGCCCTAAATTTGTTTTGGGAACTACCCCCCACCCTATCCTGGTGTATTCTAAACCAGAAAATCTTGAGTGATAGCAAGGACGTAGTATTTAGACATCCAATTCACAGCATCATCATTCATAACAGCCAAAACCTGCAAACAATGGTGTGTTGGCACAGAAGTTAAGATGCTGTGTGGGACACTTGTGTGTCATATGGGAGTGCCTGGGTCAAGTCCTGGCTCTGCATCCGACCCAGCTTTTCTACTAACGCACACCCTGCAAGGCAGCAGTGATGGGTCAAAAGCCAGTGACAGATGAACAGATAACAAGAATGTGGTATATATACACACTGGAGCATTCAGCCTTTTTAGAAGGAAGGAAATTCTGTCAAATGCCACAACATAAATAGACCTTTAGGATATTGTCCTTTATGCTGTTATAACAAAATACCACAGACTAGGAAGTTTATAAATAATAGCAATTTATTTCTCACAGTTCTGGAGACTGGGAAGTCCAAGATCAAGGTGCCACTGGGGAGGGCCTGGTCTCTGCCTCTAGGCTGGCACATTACTGCTGCATCCTTGAAGGGGAATGCTGTGTCCTCACAGGGTGGCAGGGATGGAAGGGCAAGACGGGAAATCTTTTCAAAGCCTCTTTTATAAGGGCATTAATCCATTCATAGGAGACTTAATAATGTCTCAGAGGAACTACCTCTTAAGACTCTGTGATGAGGATTATAGTTCAACATGAATTTTGGAAGGGACACTACCTTCAAACCATGACAGGATTATCTAAGGGAAATAAGCCAAGTCATGAAAGGGCAAACACTGGGATTCCACTCACAGGAGGTTTCTAGAGTCAAATTCATAAAGACAGAAGGTGAAATCGTGGGTACCGGGGCTGGGGCAGGGAGAGTAGGGAGTCTGTTTAATGGGACAGTTTTAGTTTGGGAAAGTGAAGAAGTCCTAGAAATGAAATGAATGGTAGTGATAGTTGCACATCATGGCAACTGTAGTTAATGCCACTGATGAGTGCAATTAGGTGGCAAATTTTATATGTATGTCACCACACACACAAATCTGGCTACTCTTTTCTCCCAAAGCAACAAATAACAATTGTTCTGAGAAGTTAAAATCACCACTGAAGAAGCGCCATTATAGTTTTGCGGTCCTAATTGGGTACTGTCGTGTTGTAAGTTTCTGATGTCAGCTACTCTCTTTTCAAAACACAAGATTCTAACACTGAGAAGCTTCTGCAT